CTTAAACATATTGGGGAGACTCCCAGGACACTCCAGCCCGGCAACATGAAACTACAGCAAATCTGAACCTTTTCCTTCTCTGCCGCACCGGCCCTAAAACCTCTAACTAGGCCCTCACAATTTGCTAAAACACACACCTCCTAGAGAAACAAATGATTCTGTTTTGATCAGGGGACGTCTCCCCCACTGGACTGCCGGCTTCATTAAAGCTGTGTCTGGCTTGTTCACTGTTGTGCCCTCTCAGGTAGATGCTCAGTAAGTACTTGTTCATGAACGAATGCATCTGAGCCTCCCCGGCCTCACCAGGAGGCCGGCCATGACAGGTGAAGATGTCTCTTGTGGGTTGAGGAGTGAGGGACCGACGGCTTGAGGATTCCGCATTTGCCCTCTCGCTAGAGGAATTCTGGCCAACGTAATAAGACATGAAAAAGGAACTGGAGTATAAGTATTAGAAGGAGAAGAGAAATCGGTATTTGTGAGAGGCTGGTGATCTACCTCAGGGATTGTTACCCAGGGGTTGACAAGGGGCCATCTGGCCGTGTCTGGAGACATCTTTGTCACACTGGGGGAGAGAGGGCTGTCTGCCACTGGCCTCTCATGCATGAAGGGCAGGACAGCTGCTGCACATCCTACAGGGCACAGGACGGCCCCCCAACCCAGATTGATCCAGTCCAAAATGTCACTGGTGCCAGGGCTGGCATAACAGGAGTAACAGGAGAACAGACTCCTGGGTCCCAGAGGAGGGGGCTCTCTCCAGTGAGGCTCACCTATCCCGTCAGCCCTGATTTGTGAGGAGGGTTTAGTTAGCGCATGAGAGGCTTGGTGAGAATGAGGTTTCCTCTCTTCGGTCAGAACGAGTGCCCCCTGCAAGGGCTGCATCTCTGAGGGCTCCCGGGAAGGGCCACCAGAGCCAGGAGGCAGGGCTGTGCCACTCGGCTGCCCTGGGGTCTGAGAGGCTTGACCCAACTTCCAGGGGCTGACGGTGCCTGTAGTGATCGAGGGTGTGTGTGCATGCTTCTCTTCTTCTTGAGCGCCCTCGGGCGGCCTCGTGGGCATTACCACACGCTGACAGCATGTCTCCTGTTTTTGTCCAGACACCAGTTCTAGAGTTTCAGAGCCGCTTCGCAGCACCTTTCCTGACATGCTTTCAGACTCAGCCAGCAAAGACTTGCCCGGACGCATTCTGTTGGATATAGACAACGATACAGAAAGCACCGCCCTGTGAAGAAAGCCACGCCCCGGCCACGCCCCCGCACCGCCACGCCCCCTTTCACCCTGGTGAGCAGAACAGGGGCAGGTGCGCGCTTCTCTCTGCAGACCAAACAGTGAAGAGCTTTCAGTGAAGGGAAAAGAAGGTCTGGCATGCAGGCCTTCGCCTCCCCGCAGCCCCAGGAGAAGGTGGAGGCTGACACTTTAAGCTGAATGACCTGTGTCTTGAAGTTGGCTTTCTTTACACGGGAAAGAAATCATGCCAAAAAAATTTAAAAAAAAAAAAATTAAAAAGAAAGAAAAACAGAAAAAGAAAAAAGAAGTACCCAGAATGGAAAGAGTATTATTGCCGAGATGTGTGTAGGAATCTTTGTCACAGCCGTTGAGGCAGGTGGCACGAAAGGCAATTTGGAATGAAGAAGAAGCAGCGCGTGAACTATCTATTTAATAAAATGCATGCATTATGCAAATCGCCTACTTCCTGCTACTTGGACTTTCCTTCTATTAGGAGGGAGGTTCCTCTCCTTCATAATTGCTGCAGAATCATTTTGTATGAAGTATGGTCGTGCCCCCCCCGACCCCTCAAACCCACGAGCATTGATGGTGACTGCTGGATCCGTCACCTCAGCAAACTGGATGTGACTTGTGCCTTGTTGGATTGCCAGAATGTAGAAAGAAATGTACTGTGTTTTTTTTTTTAAACAATGTAATTGCTACTTGATAAGGACCGAACATTATTCTAGTTTCATGTTTAATTTGAATTAAATATATTCTGTGGTTTATATGAAAACTTTATAATTCTCGGAAACAAAACTGTGGCTTGTGTGTGTGTGCGCGCATGTGTTGTCTTGTCACTTAACCAAACAGAATTTGGGTGAGACATCAAAGATCCCTGTGTCCCCAAAGCACTTCCTACACTTATTAATGACATTGAAAATATATACCCATGAACCCATTTCCCCCTGTATCGTAAATTTATATTTGCTTAAGGCTGACCATCTCCCTCCTCAGAAGCCATCCCCCCTTGGCTGTAGATCAAGCTCCCCGTAGAGACCAAGGGTCTCGGTGTCGGTTGCCCATCGACATTGAGCCCCTTCTCCAGGGAGCCCGCTGTGCGCCGTGAGGCATCTCAGCGGCGCCTTGGACGTGCTTCCTCTGCAGCGCTGGTGCTCAGGAGAAAACGGAGATGCCGTGCTTGCCAAGGAGGTGGTGTGGGTGTCTGGGGACCAGGAAGGTCCGTGCTGGACATTGTCCCCAGAGTGGCACACGTGTTTTGTTATTGCTGGCTCTGAAACATAACACAGACCCTCTTTATTTGAAGAATGTTTCAGTTTTCACTCTCCTTCATTTTTTAAAATCTCCCAACCCCAGCAGCTCCAATCTAAAGAAAAATGATGATAATTTGGTTTTGTCTGCGTGTCAAAGGTAAATACCAAACCAAGGCTACTGCCCATCTTTTGGATGGGGGCTCAGCTTGCGTTCGGAACCGCAAGCGCATCATGGTGGAAGCATCTGCGAGCTCCCACAGAGACGTGATTACCCCTGCTGGGACAGTCACCACCTTGCTGTCCCCTTCTCCTGGCACTAACACCATCAGAGAGGAGAGGTTTTATAATCTAAACTCATAGTGGCTGTCCCTGGTCATCCAGGAAGGTGCTGGTGTCTAGGAAGATGCTGGTTTCCGTTTCCTTCCCTCAGAACAGTTTCTCATAGAACGTTCTAGCCCTATGTGCTCAGGCCTTCTCTTTCTGCTCCCCCACCCACGGCAACACCAGGGTCAAGGCCCTCTTCCTTGCACCACACCTTGCATTCACGACCCATCTATCCCTTTCTTGGTGCAGCATTTGGGGACCCTTGTCCCCCTCCTGGGACTCCAGCTCCCATGCCCCCCAAGTCCAGTGAGCCCCACAGGTGCTCATATTTGAAGGTATGAAGACAGACCCTCCACCGGCTTCTCCACCTGACATCTGTTCCCACCATTTTCCCATCAGCACCGTGGCCCTGGCAGCCTGTGACCATATTTCAGAGCCTTCCCTCTCTTCCGGTAGACACTGTTCTGCCATCTCTTCATTCCGGGGCACCAAGTGACATCTGTGACTCACAGTCTGTTGCATCACATGGGGTAGCAGCTCACTGGCGGATGTTTCTAAGCCTCCACTTTGGAATGTCTTAGTGGCGGTGCTGGGGACAAGGAAAGATCTGGCATGGCAAAGTGGCGAGGGGAGAGTAATCAGAGTCAAAGCCAGAGAGGGGCCTGGCCATGAGGGGTAATTCCCATCAGGGAATGTGGGCTTCATCCCGGGAGCCTGGGAGAGTCACTGAAGGATTCTAGGCAGAAGAGTGGCGCAGTCGGATTCGCTGTCTTTGCCCGTGGCTGCACAATGAGCAAGACTGGAGTCAGGAAGGCCAGCAGTCAGGAGGCTGTGACAGTGACCCGGGGGAGAGATGGCATTGGCCTGCATGTCCGTCGTGATGGCTCCCACTGAGACGCACTTCCAAGCCCCACCAGTGGCAGCAGAGGTCTCTGGGGCTTGGCTGAGGGGCCGCGTGGGGAAGGAGCTCAGGACCCCAGCAGAGCCTGCTGGGCCTCCCCTCCCTGCCTTGGGCCCTTGGAGAGGAGCGCTTAGCCTCCCCCTGGAGCCCACTTGCTGCAGGCCAACCCAGGCTCCGGTCGGGGGACAGTTCCTGAGGGTCTGGAGAGTAGCCACGTTAGCGAACGGCTCCCCACAAAGGCGGGGGTGTGCCTTCGCCCGACCCACCGCTGACCTCGGGACCAGTGTGGCAGAGCCAGGCCTCTGACAAGGCTGGCCCCAGGTCCTGAGAGCAACCAGCAGGGACTCCAGAGACACGTTGGGTGACTAAGTGAAGCCCAAGTGGCTCGTCAGCCTCAGGGTTTCCTGTCCGTGTTCCTTTCAAGTGTGGAAATTGGGGTCCCTGGAGAGACTGCTCTGAGAACAGAGTTCCGAGTTCTGTTACGCCAATAAGTGGTTCCAGTCCGCCCCAGCTCCCTTTATCCCAGGGCCGGAATCACGACTTGAGGCGCTAGGCTCCCCCAGGGCCGGCTCTGTGGGCCTGCCCTTGACCTTAGCCGTGCACGCAGCCAACAGCCTGTGTGGGTCATTCCGGCAGACCCCAGCAGAGCCCAGAACACAGAAAGGAGGATGGCTGGGACTGCGTGGAACAGGGGTGGCTGCTCTTCAGGTCCAAAGGCCCACCGCCCCTCAGTCAGTAGAGATTTGCTGTGGGGTTGCCCATCCTTCTGGCCGCTTGTTTGAGGGCAAGCAGCCTTGTGGGAATTAAGCGGAGAAACAGAATCGACGTCAGCACTTGGGAAGTGCACACATTTCCCTGATTTCCTTAAAGCACAAGATTCCAGGGTGCCCCCTCTGGTCTACTTCCCAGAGATCATATGGAAAAGCAAGTGTCACAGCGAGGAAAGCTCTGGGGACCAGCTATTCCTTCACCCAAAGCCAGCAGGAGTGGAGGCAAGCGGTGGCCTGCAGGTCCCATTCCTTGCGCTTTGAACATGAGCCGGGCAAAGTCCAAATGCTAGTGCTCGGCCCTGGAGATGGGGCTGCTGCCAGGCCGGGAGGCCTGGCGGGTCTCTTCACTTGTTTATCAGTTTGAATTTCACCCTTGGTGTCGCACAATAGACAAGAAGAGTGAATAGCCTTTTGAGAAGAGGCAGCTTTGACACTTCTTTTCTCCCCCACCTTCTACCCTCCATTCCCTTTTAAGAAGAAAAGAGCTAAGTGTCACGTTGAAAATGGCCCATGAACTCCTTTGAAGCCTCACAGTAAACAAACGAAGCTTTATTATTTATTTCCTTTCATTACAAAAAGAGGGCGCGGACAACAGACTGGACCCCTGGGTTCACCCCCGACGTTAAGCAAAGTAGCCCCAGAGAAAGATGGCACAGCTAACGCAGATGATGAGATTGATGTCCAGAAGGGTTTTCACGAGGGGGTTTTCTTCCAAGGAAACTATGACGGGTTCCACTTTGCTCGGGGGCTCCTTATCCAGGCTCTCCATTCCACAGAGCCACAAGATGGCTCGCATCACTTTGGACCGCTTTGGGGTCGTGTCACCTAGAAGAACCCAAAGGAAGGTCATAAGGATGTGGGCTGTGTCTCCCAGAGAAGGGAGCAGAGGGGCCGACCAGCTGTGTTCCGTTCCCAGTGAGTATTTTCCATACCTTTTCTGGGAAGTATTCATGAATACCTTAATCCGGAAGAGTGGTATTTTCAGACTTATCATTTTCAGATGAAGAGACAGAGCCTCACTTGACTAAATTGGGTGAGGCCATGCAGTGGGTAAGCAGTGGCAGGGGTGGGTTTAGAAGCCAAATCTGTCTCCCTCTATCACATTGCCTGCCAGGAGGCCCAAGGCAGAGAAGGGCACTCTTGTGGGGAAACTATTTCCCCATTCGAAGCTGGGGCTGCAAGCTCCACGGCCTTTAGAGCCAGGCACGTGGTCAAGGGGAGCCACCTTGCTTATTAAACTTGTCAAAATATGAACCAGGAAAGATTCTCTCATTTTTCTTGAAACACACGGTCTTCTGGATCTATCTCGTTAGGTTGACATGGATACATAGCCACAGAACGTTTGTACGTGTATGTACATGTATATTGATAGATGTAAAAGGCCACGTGTGATGGTAAATGACAGCCCACGGCCGCAGGGTCATGGGGCAATAGGGGCAGGTGGGGACCTTGGCTCACTGAAGGGCACAGCCCAGGTCTGAAGGGCCTGCTTTCCAAGCTCCGGACAACGTGAGTCATGCAGACATGGGGGCCCAGTGTTGTTACATCTTCCCACGTTTCAAAAGGAGATGGAAATCTGGAATTTTATGTGAAATCTCCTGATTTTTCAATGTTAACTCACCTTTTATTAAAATGGTAGGTGGACTACACCACGGTATGTCTGCAAGCTGCCAATTTGAAACCAGCAATTTAGAGAAAGCCAATAGCATTCCAGCCTACCCGGTGAGATTTCATGGGGATTGAGTGAGCCATGTTTTAGCAAGCACTCAACATGCGTTTGCTGTTATTGCTCCCCACTGAGCATCTGTTGAAAGTTAAAACAGATACTGGGGGTCAGGGGATGCTAACATTCCAAGGACATCCTCCTTCTGGCTGGTGATTTGGTAGAAAAATCTCCCCTTAAACACCTAATGCTTCTTGGGCTTCTACTGTAACCGAGGAGAGGCAACTCACAGCAGTGGGGTTTGGCTATGTTTTCTTGAACAATCTCCAACTGGATGTTGGTGATGCTGGCCTCTGATGTCCCATTTGGAGAGATGGTAAGAGTCTGGGGAGTTGCTGGTGGTACCTGATCCTTCTGGACCATGGGGTCATGACGAGTAAACCAGGTCAGGCGGCTTACCTAAGGAGCACAGATGGATCAGATTAGGGTCCCCTGCTCGAACCCATGTTCAGCCTCACATGTGAGAACGCCCCCCCATCACTGCACCTCCAACAAGTTCCAGCTCCCTGCCCTCTGCAGAATCAATGGACATTTCCCCCACGATTCCCCTGGCTTTCTTCAGCAGCCCTAATTCTGTTGGGATCTCACCCTCCTTCATTCTGGCCCCCCAGAGCTTAACCCTAGCCTGGGGCTTTTGGGGGACCCCCCCCATCAGCCATTCAGCACATGCATTTCTCTAGCCACAGAAACTGAACTGGTTCATGGGTAAACATGTGTCGAGCTGACTGCATCGATGGAAATCAGGAACCCTGCTGGAAATGCTGGGACAAACATGTTTCTGCTTTTGCTTGATGAGCATGAGAAAAGATAAAATCCCTGGAAACTGCCAGCCCCACACAGCGCCTGAAAATTGGGGCGGAAATGAAGGATGGATACGGATGGTCTTCCATCCCAAATCAAGCTGTCCCTAAAGCCCAACCCTGGATGTCCCAGCTTCTTGAACAATCAAACCATCTTAGCTGAGGCCAGTTTGGGTCAGTTTTCTGTCGCTTGCGGCCAAGGATCTCAGTGGTTATATAGTATCAAACCCAAAGGTACCATCTCCTTGGAGGGCGACTCCGTGAACCCACTCACGATGGACACCGTGATCAGAGTCACTGCAGACAGAATCATGGAGAAATACAGGTAATGGACATCCTTCACCACGGTGGGGCGGTCATCTGGCTGGTCACACCGTGGCTGCGGGTAAATGAAGTCCAGGACCAGCCGAATCAAGCCTAGGAGAAGGCCCAAGATCAGACCTGAGAAGGCCCCCTGCAAATCAGAGCAAGGCCATCTTAGAGACGTCCAGGGTTACGGGGCGGCCAGCTTGAGCCTCTGCAGACCTCGATGAGCCATTTTCAAGAGCCCGCCTTTCTAGGGACGGTCGATGCAGGCGTCAGTAATTTGAAAAGGACTGCAGCTACTTATCTGTTTATCTTTCACACATAACTAATCATTCATGAATAATTTACTCATTCCTTGTGAATTTAGCTTCCTGTTTCATGACACAATGCATCAAAACAGAACCCCCATGGTTGCTCTTCAAAGGCCAGGTGGCCCCCTCCCCACACCTCTGTCCCCAGAACTCATCCTCCGGAATGCCACCCATGTCACTAAGACATCCTCATGGGTGATGAGCTACCTTTTCATTGGTCCATTTCCAGAAGCATCCCATGATGAACACCACGGCCACGGGTGGCTGCAGGTAGGAGCTGATGGACTGGATGTAAATGAAGAGCTGGCCTCCCTGGCTGGCCTGGACCACGGGGATCCAGAGGATGGAGACCAGCACCAGCAGCAACACAAATGCCCTAGTGCCAGGCAGAGAGAGCCCCTCGTTAGCATGTCTTCCCCATAAACACTTACTGCTCTTTCTCTGTTACAGCTTTATTGAGGTAGAATTTACATACCACAAGATTCACCCATTCTAAGAGTACAATCCCGTAACTCCGGGCAATGCAATCAAGTTTTACAAGTCCATTACTCCAAACAAGTTCCTTCGCGCCCATTTACAATTTATTCCTTATTTGCTCCTGTTTCTATGGGTTTGCCTTTTCTGGACATTGCACAGAAATAAGATTCAACAGCATGTGGTCTTTGGCAGCCAGTTTCCTTCACATAGCATGCTTTTGAGGTTCATCCATGCATCATGCATGATCACAGTATGTCATTCCTTCTTATTGTTGAAAAATACCCCATTGAATGGATCTACCATGACATGCCACTGTTTATCCTGCAGTGGTCAGTGGACACTTGTGTTTTTTCTATTTTTCCACTCTTGTAAACAAAAGCTGCTAAGTGAATATTTGTGTTTGTGTCTTTATGTATTTCTGGGAATGCAATCTTTATGTAGACGTATGTTTTCATTTCTGGGAATGCAACTGCTCAGTCATATGATAAGTTGTATGTTTAATTTTTTTAAAAAACTGCCAAACTGTTTTGAACAGTTGAACCATTTTACATTCCCACCTGCAGTGTTAAGAAAGTTCCAACTTCTCTATCTCCTTGTCTGTCTTTCTTTTTTTTTTTTTTTTTTTAAGATTTTACTTATTTGTCAGAGACAGAAAGAGCACAAGCAGGGGGAGTGGCAGGCAGACGCTTAACTGACTGAGCCACCCAGGCGTCCCTCTGTCTTTCTGATTATAGCCATTTTAGTGAGCATGTTGTGGTATCTCCCTACAGTTTTCTAGGGTTATGATCTCATTTTGCAGATCATTCTAGATCAAAAGTCCTTTGTCAGCTACACGACTTGCAAATAGTTTCTCCTTATCTGTGGCTTGTCTTCTCATTTCCTTAATGGTGTCTTTTGAAATGAAAAAGTTTTAGCTTTTGATGAAGTCTAATGTATTTGTTTTTTTTTTTCTTTTTTCTTTTATGAGTTATGTTCTCAGTGTCAGACCTAAGAACTCTTTCCCTAACCGAAAGCTAAGATAGGGCGCCTGGGTGGCTCAGTTGGTTGAGCGACTGCCTTCGGCTCAGGTCATGATCCCGGAGTCCCCGGATCGAGTCCCCGGATCGAGTCCCGCATCGGGCTCCCTGCTCGGCGGGGAGTCTGCTTCTCCCTCTGACCCTCCCCGCTCTCATGTGCTCTCTCTCATTCTC